TATGAAGGCAATATGGAGTCATGAAATGAATGATAAACTACCTCATATATCGCTAATAGTACTCAGGTACCTCATGAAACAAATTGATGCTTATAGAATTTCGAATTACTTTGCAATTCAAATCAATCAAATCAATTTTATGTCAGAACATGTTGAAACATAATCAAGAACGTAAAACATAAATTGATGATGGTTCTTCGAATACGGAACGTCGCATGGGTAAATTAATATCACCATGTAAAATCTGATCAAAAGTTGCCACGGAAAAGTATTTTGAGATTTTTTGATGAATCTCTAGTAATAAAGATGAAAAAAATCAATCAATCAATCAATTAATCAGCAGACCTCAATAGTTCATCACTGTTGAATTTGTTTTCTTAGTAGGTAATAATATGTATTTGCTATCAACCCTCTCAAGTTAATCCATTACACCGTATTTTAATGTAGATATTGTGCCTATTTTCAGAAAATGAAGATTTATCGAACCTTTCCACAGGTAATTTTAATCCTTCAGGTTGGAAAAGTAGGATAAGGATATACACTATGATGCAAATGTATGGAATAAATTCATTTCAAAATAAGACGACTTTCGAAAAAAATCCCGAAACTAGAGTTTAGAACTTCTTTAATTGATGTATTTTTTTAACTGGACAACTCTTCGTTGTTCCATTCTCAGTAGCAGACCTCTGCAAAATTCATTTAATCAAATGATAATCTATTTTGATTTCAATCTTCTTATGCAAAATTTTGACTGTTGAATAGACGATCAGTAGACCTTTCAAACCAGGTGTCACATGACCCCTGTTTGTATTTAAAAAAATCTTCCATGACGTCATTACTCCAACACAGGTGACGTAACATCTCCCATATGGATATCATGAAATGAGGCTTCAAAAATCAAAACTCACGCGTTTTTGAATTTTTGTCAAATGTTGCCCATTTAAGAAATAATGATTTTATTCCATTCATTTGCATCATACTGTATATATATATATATATATATATATAGCGAAATATGTCGTGTGATAAGATTTTGAGGAAATCTCATATCGTTTGTGAAGTCTTTAAATATATTTCATGAACATGAAAAAAAATGAAAACATTCAATTCAATTCAAAATATACTTTATCGTCGAAGAAAAATATTTTTATTAACAAAACATGAAGACACATTGAGAATTCGCATTAAAAAGTATCTATCTATCTGATAAAAATATGGATTATTTATTGGTTTCGAATCCATCAATATTCATTAATTACTTATCAAATTCTATCTATCAAAATTTCAGTATCCTGTCAAATTATTCATCAATATCTGCGACAATCGTTAAATATATGAGGGGATACAAGTTTCTACTCAAAACCTATATAAATAATAATGTTAAAATTCACTAATTATTGTCGCAATACTTCCACATGCATTTGAATCGTTTATTTTTGGCAAATTCCATGCGTGGGATCTGAGCACTTTTCAATCAACGTTGGAGCCAAAATTATTCAGATCTATGCACTCCATGCAGTTTTAACTACAAGATTGAGTTATCGCGTAATGAATCTGAAAAGATTTGTGTTCAATTCGTTCATTGTGAGCCGTGAAGGTTAACAAGCTTTTATGCATAGCGCATATTACATAATTTCTATTTTATTATCAAAACGAGAGATATAGTGTGTATGACTTTTCTGGAGAACATTCATATAATGTCAGTATAGTTATGTACAGTCAGATGCAATGATGCCTCGCTCACAAACTCACTCACTTCTCTGGAACACCGTAGAAAAGTTGGCGATATGGCTCTATTTTATAGATATTTTCATGGACGATACTCTTCTGAAATATCAACAATTGTTCCTCCCTTGGCAGTCCCCGCGAGATTAACCCGTCGAGTTGAGGCTTCGCACCCCTTCGTGGTCACTTTGGAGACCTGCAGAACATCTCTTTCCAAAGACTCGTTCATCCAACGAGCAACGAAGCTCTGGAACACATTGCCAAAGGAGGTGTTCCCCGAGGCATATAACCTCCAGAAATTTGAGAAGAACACCAATTCCTACCTTATTTCCCTTGGTTCTCACGATGTTCTCTGAACATTACAGGATATCCCTTTTCGTGAGAACCAGAACATAAAAAAAATGAACATGACGCCCATGGTCGGTCTCTGTTTATGTTCGGTGGCCGGTGAAAACGTTCTCTATGCAGCTGTGATTTAGAGAGATGACACCGTCCATGTGCATTGAAAAATAAACTCCAAATTTATAGTGTCTTCAAATTCTCAAAACGTTAATCAAAAAATGATAATATATGATATACAAGGTGTTTCCGAAATTGAAACGATAAATGAAATCGGTAATAGAACAAAAAAAAACAAACCGAAACGACAGTAATTTTTTCTCGGAGATATTGAGTTTTTTTAGTTTGCTTGGATTTTTTTGGTATTATTGATTGGAAATTGACAGCCAAACGCAAGCGTTTACTTCCAAGGATGCCCGCTGAAGCACAGGAAGTATGAATTACTTCTACAATGTTGCCAGAACTGCAATAATAGTTGAAAGATGAGATATGATGAGAGAATAATGTTGTCACAATGAATTTCTTCGCGATTAATTGCGTCATTATGTCTGATACGATATTCCATTTTAATTATAGCTTCAATTTGGCATGTACCCAGTAAGCGAATCCGAATCGAAATTCTATATCTAGGTAGGAGGGACTAAATAGTGAACACTAGAAATGATGTTTTCCGCATCATAATTCCAACTAAATCAATACCTGAGTTTCTAAATCATCAAAAAGTTGATCTGATACTGCCCGAGCAAATGCTTGTATGAAAATAATTATTCAAAATTAATTCCATAAAAAAACAGATTCCGCATACATCAAAACAGATCTTTTACAAGAACTCCACTCGACTACGTAAATAATGACTAGGTACCTATTTGCAAAATTTGTATACCGAGATTCATCTCAGCAGTGTATATAGTTTCAACTTGATTGCTTCCATGAGAACAAAATTGCATAAGTGCGCCAACATGCTATACAGAGTGTAATCAATTAGGTTGGCTGAGAATAAAGGATATGGTTTCCTAACTCATTTTAAAAAGAAAAGTTCATATGAACATTCCTCAAACCACTCAACTTTCAAACTATAGGGTGTTTACATTTTGTTTCCTCTTTATTGATTAATAAAAGTTTCACAATGTAAAAAACTGTAACGTTAATGAATACTTGTCAAAATAAGACCGCACCGTAATCGATCAAATGTCATTATTTCAAATACAAAATAGGGCATTAGCCTACTACTTCAAAATAATTTCGTTATGCCACAAATGCATGAAAATTGTTTTTATTTTTTTACGCGAAAACGGTTCGTCGGACGAAAAATAATCAGGTAGTCGAATTGTTGCAAAAAAATGAGGATTTCAAAAATAATTTTTTATCTCGAAAAAATCAATGGCGTACAATATTTTTTTCAAAAAATCTCCAGCATACATCTCTTACGTACGTCACTGGTAGAGATATGAAAACATGTCTTGCATAGAAAAATGCCTATTGGTGCTTAGCAGGTGTATGTCAAATTTCATGGAAATATCTAGAACGGTATTGAGGTTTTAATGAGAAAACGATTTTTTCTTAAAATTTCAACACCGTATAGGTCGAAAGTTAAGAGGTTTAGGGCATATGTTCATATGAACTTTCTTCTCAAAAGCTAAGCTAAGGAGCTAAGGAACCATATCCTTTACTTTCAGCCATCAATTAAATTACACCCTGTATATAATATCATATTTTGAAGACTATTTGTGACAAAAATATTCACAACAGTCAATTAATCAAAATCCGTGCATTGTAATTTTTGAGTTTCGAAATATCGATATTTTAGAGCATTACAACAAAATGGAGACAGGTTCATAGGATAAGAGGTACAAGTATATACAAGTACTTATTTCCAGGAAGCTGATCTGTAAAAATTCCACATAGTAACATACAGGGTGATTCACATAACAACCGACATAGGGCAGGGGCATGCAGGGGGTCCCAAAATAAGGCAATTTAACGCAACTTACCTCTATACCAAGTTGCTTCCCTAAGGAGTTATAGGAATAGCACTAACAGCATGTCAACTTGCTCGTTAAAAGAAAACTTCCCGTTCAATTTAAGAACACTCAAACAACAAATACTGAATTGACCAACTCACTTGCCTCATTGTCAAGTTTGACGTTTATTTTCATAGCCAACTTTTGAATTTTCGATGATTTAAATAACACACCTAGAGCGCGCGTTTTCAGTTATTCGAGTTTTTGATGAAAATGATGAGGTTTTTCGAAAAATTACTGGAGTAAGAACAGTTTTAGAATTGAATTGCCCACAAAACAAAGCGAAGATTTTTGAAATCCATGAAGTGTTAACAAAATTATGTTGAATATTAATGATGCGCCACCCGGTATACCCCCTTTACAAATTTCAATTGAACTCTAGTTACTTTCCAGTAACGCCCTAAACATCCACAAAATGTACCAAATTTGATTGCTTTAAGTTCAAGAATAACGGAGATATTGATTTTTTTCAAAATTTATAACTTCACTTTCAAAGCCTATATCTCCTTATTAGGGAAGCAACTTGGTATAGAGGTAAGTTGCGTTGAATTGCCATATTTTGGGACCGCCTACATGCCCCTGCTCTATGTCGGTTCTTATGTGAATCACCCTGTATATTGTTTCAGCTTGCAATACAGTTGACCTTACAGTAATGAAATATTATTATATTTCAAACAACACTAAAACATGAGGGAGTTGAGAAAGAATAACCGTTAGTAAAAGTTGCAACGAATCATGAAATTAACTAGAATTCTGCACGATTTTGGATGGATGAAAAACGTGAAGGGAATTTACACGATGAAGACAGTCCATTTACATTCTCCTTTCCATGCACAATCCAAAAATGATGAATCATGCCGTACAACGAACTCGTACACATCTCTACGTCAAACCCTTTAAGGACAAAAAAATTACCATAGGATTCACCATAACCCAGTAAAAGCTTCTCACAGACATTCTCCTTTGCTTGGGAGCAGGCAAAGTGATCGGCAAGGCGAGCGAAAATCGCCTGTTTTGTTCGCCAGTCATTTTGTATTCTGCCTGCAAAAAATTGCACGAAAATGTTAAAGTCACAGAACACCGATTACGTCATTTTTGCGCGAAAACGCGGTCGGATTGGCCATTTGGAGCGCGATTGAGATGCACGGTGTTCCTCCACCGTTGGTGTTTTGAGCGCACTAAGTTTTACATCCTTGCGTAATGAAGAGAGAAACGAATAATTTCATGCTGAGTTTCACAGCCTTGAGAAGGTATAACCTGCATTTACTATTATTGCTCCCTATAACAGGAAACTGATAAAATGAGCTATTAAACTGCCATTGTTCATTTTTACTAGAAAACTATGAATAATTTATGCATGATTTCAGAACAACAGATCTTTTTTCTCATAACCATAGGCGTAGAAGATGGTGAGACAGATGGACCCGGCCCACTCCAGAAAACAAGGTATACACATTGTGCTGAATGCTGAGAACTGACAAGACCACGCCCAAAAGTCGTGCACCCTGTTGTCAAATTCACCGATTTAAATGTCCTCTAGTGTGAATTGATATAATTATCATTTACACGAATTTATTATAAGCAATAAGCCACAAATCATAAGGGAACATTTTGATACAATTGATTTTTCATTGCTAATTAGGAATATTTCCAATACTCAATTGAGAATTTATGAATTATTGGATAACTATAGTTTTCCTGAAGTTGAAGAAATGAATGAGGTTGGCTGGAATAATATTAAAAATTCATTTGCCAAACAGACAAGTAACTTAGTATTTGAAGAAGAATAAATCTCAAAATCATCTCCACGACATTTGATAGTAGAACATAGTAATGTTACAATTATTAGGGAAAGAGGACAACCTCCTGGAGTATCTCAGAGGGTACATGCCCCTCTTTAAATAAAAATTCATGTCAAAAATTAATTTTTCATGTAGGTATTCAATAACTTTATGAATTTAGTATGTTTCACAACTTGAACATGCCTCTCCTCCAATCGTAACAACTATGTTCAACTATAAAATATCGTGGAGATGAATTTGAGATTTAGTCATCCTTCATGTACTGAATGGTTGCTGAATAGGTGTTGATGGTCGTCACTTATATTTGAGCATCTGTGTACAATAATTTGACATCAGAAAAACCTCAGTCAGAAATAAAAATCGAGCGTGTTTATGTATGTATCAAATGGTTGATTATATTTGTCGAATCTATTTTAGAAGTTCGACATGATTCAGGGAATAGAAGAGCCAAATGCTCATCTTCTCTGAAGGTTTCTCGAGTTTGGATTCACAAAAAATAAATTGATATATTCTCCCGAGACAATACATCCTTTCAGTCATATCGATAATTAATTCTATGACCTACCCATTGAAATCATACTAAAACCTAGAGTACATCTTTGTTTATTCTGCCTTGCAAACTCTTTTCCATAAACAATAATTATTGAGCCTTCTGATGGAGAATGATTTATTAATAATTGCGAAATGATACTTCGAGCTCACAGGCCACCAACGAATTATGATGATGATTTCAATAGCGCAACAATAACATTGAAGATATCAATATTAATAATGCATAACTTGAAACTAATAATTTGAGACATAAATGATGCCATATTTGGTAATCACTCAATGGTCCATGATTGGCAAACGATAATTTCTCACAGGAGGCCATCGCGAATAAAAGGTGTCCTTTAGTTCCTCCTAACAGGAAAAGAAATATTCCTGAGATAAGAAGTTGAAGATAAATCATATAAAATATTGAAAGAACTATGATACGACTTATGAATAGCCCATAATGATCATATCATAATCTAAGGATCTTCAATGTGCAAAATAGTATACCTGAAATAATATGATGTTAAAAATCATGATTCTACGAGAACTTTCTCTCATGGCAAAAATTATTTAAAGCAGTAAGCCCACGCATCATGCTATAAACTAAATGGTGCCAATATCATTGAGATATGCGTTCAGTTCAATCAAGACATTATCTTGGAATCGAGATATTGCGATTATTTCCTGAAGTTAAACAACCATCAAGCTCTAGAATGGTCTAACAATGCCTCACCAAAATGAATTCACTAGTTTCGAATAACAAACTTATCATCCCCTGTTTGCCAGACCATATAATGTTATGCAGAATGACATCAACTTCTTTCACTCATGACCTGAGCCATCCTGTTGTGTGATGTGAGAGCACACACTATCAAGTGAGCTCAGGAAGTACAAGGAAACCAAAAGAGCCAGACTCTGAAGGCATCTCCTAGCTCTCACACAGGCGAAAGCACTTCTCATAGAAGCAAGAGGCTATATGGGATGCTGATGGGGTACTTTTCAGTTACTGAAACTCAAAGGGGACCTCCAGAAGCTCGGCTTAGAGCAGACAGTACCTTTCTACAAATTCTGTAAAGGAGGAGAAAACCTCGGAGAAAACGGTACTTCAACTCTTGACAATGCGTAAAGAATATCATGTTATCCGGGTACATTGTAACTGAATATGAAAAGGAGATATTTCATCCTTTGATACAATTCAGGCGGCTCGGTGGTCGAGAGCGTGAAGGCGCTGAGTTCGTATGGGGACTCCCACACCAAGACATAGGTTCGAATCCTAGTTAGGCCATGGATGTTTGTGTTTGTATGTTTACCTAACCCCGCACAAGTTTCGACTTATGGGGCGTTTGGTCCCAGTGTTGAGACCAACGAGGTAATGCAATTGCAAAAGAAAACGTATTCAAAAAGTATTCGACATTCGGAAGAGAATGGGGTGTACCAGGTCAGATAATACCTACTCCGACATCACTAGGGACAAGACCTCGAGCCTTTTCACTCGAACATTGAAGACTATTATGTCTGAACAACAATAGACTTTGATTCAAAATGTCCGATACTTCTTCTGCGTGGTGGACTAGTGTAGTTTTGAATCAACTGTCATATTACATAAATATAAGTGAGGTCACGAAGCAACTCCATTCTTTGTTCATTCTAGATGTCCTTGAGGATCACAAAGACAATTTTTTTGGTTTCCTCTCCTCGTTTCTTGGAACATTTTGGGAAGAAATATCTGCTATCATTTTCGAATCGTCTTTCTGCTAAACGCCCAAAGAAATAAGGAGATAAAATCTCAGAAAACCTAAAGAAATGAACGTATTTCGACAGTTAATAGAAATGAGGATAGAAAAATGCTTCGGTTCCGCAGGTATTGTTTATATTCACAGTGTGGATAATTTAAATGGAATAAATTCGTTAGCGGGGTGGTGAACATTTTTCCTAATTCTAAGAATTCCCGACATACGTTTCACGACAACGCTTTTACATACCTTTTGCAAGCAAAATCGGGAATATATCCCTCCAGGGGTAGCTGAAACCATTCTCAACATGATGTTTTCAAATGTAACCCTATGACTCGTGACCCCTCATTGGAATTGGAAATCTGGTGGAAAGATGAATCCAGCGTACTAGTCAAATTTTAGTTATTCATATGTTCAAAGGTTGCTTAAAATTGAAATGTATTCTCAAATAGTATAATATGTAACAAGTGTTATAAACGTCCTTTTAGTAACGAGTATTTTAAGCACGAGCGGAGCAGAGCGGAGCGAGTTTTTTTAATAAACGAGTGTCTAGAAGAGTTTATAAACGCGTTACATACTATGATTTTTCTACGAACTCCGAAAATAACATTAACATACCTGCAATTCCTGCTAACCTACAAAATAATTCGAGAGGAATGGGAATTGAGATCATAAAACATGCATCTGCATACAACCAGCGAGACACGTATAAGTGATATTGGTTGTAGATGTGTCCAGTCCATTGCTTACTAACCTTTGTTTCACGTTTATTTTCATGCTTAGCGCAGAATAAATAAATTGATCTCAAAGATGGATGCTTCATTTTTACACTTCTTGGAGATATGCAAGTACCAGAACATTCTCTTCGATTTCACTTTCGTCTACTTTTCGCATATATTTTTAATGAAGAATTCGGATACAAACGAATATTGTTTGAATAATTCTGATACAAAATTCGAAAATAACAGTTGACAGTTAATACAATTGACAGGCCAGACATGTCTCAAATTACTGAAGCTGTGTTTAATGAACTGCGTTGCCATGGTAATGTGTTTACGAAATCGTGTTGCCATGGTAACGTGTTTAATATTTTGAATAAATCACAGATCGACAATCCGTGATTAATCGATCATTTAGCGTGGTAAATATCCGTACGCTAAATGCCATTTTAGTTATGTGAGTAGAAAATAGTATATTATGTAACAAGTGTTATAAACGTCCTTTTAGTAACGAGTATTTTAAGCACGAGCGGAGCAGAGCGGAGCGAGTGTTTAATAAACGAGTGTCTAGAAGAGTTTATGAACGCGTTACATACTATGCTTTTTCTACGAACTCCGAAAATTACATTTACATATACCTGCTATTCCTGCTAACCTACAAAATAATTCGAAAGGAATGGGGATTGAGAACAATACATGCAACTGCATGCAACCAGCGAGACACGTATAAGTGATATTGGTATATTGGTGTCCAGTCCATTGCTTACTAACATTATTTGTTTCACGTTTAGTGTCATGCTCAGCGCAGAACAAATAAATTGTTCTCAAAGATGAATGCTTCATTTTTACACTTCTTGGAGATATGCAAGTACCAGAACATTCTCTTCGATTTCACTTTCGTCTACTTTTCACATATATTTAAATGAAGAATTCTGATACAATCGAATATTGTTTGAATAATTCTGATACAAAATTTGAAAATAACAAGTTAATACAATTGACAGACCAGACATGTCTCAAATTACTGGAGCTGTGTTTAATGAACTGTGTTGCCATGGTAATGTGTTTAAGAAATCCTGTTGCCATGGTAACGTGTTTAATATTTTGATTAAATCACAGATTGTCAATTTGTGATTAATCGATTATTTAGCGTGGTACATATCCGTACGCTGAATGCCATTTTAGTTATGTGAGTAGAAAAATTCATTTTCCATCGCTCAAAAAGTTTGTTGGCAATTGACGGAAATTTT